TGCCAGAGTTGCGAGAACAAGAGGAGGAGGAGGAGGAGGAGGAGGAGGAGGAGGAGGAGGAGGAGGAGGAGGAGGCCGAGGACGAGGAGGAGGACGAGGAGGAGGAGGAGGAACAAGTGTGCCCAGGGGGAGAACGTGCGGAGACCTGCGGGGATAGTCGCGTGCTGCTGACCGGCTTCGTCGAGTTCCGTTCCCCTCTAAAACAGGAGTGGGAATCTTGTCCCGACTCTCGATGGCTGCATCCCCAAGTGGAGTTGGCGCGACCTGGCCACCTTGTCCCCAACGCAATCCGAACCGAACCAGATCCCTCCCTCGCAGCGCGCATTACTCGCAAGCCTTTTCGTCGACGCACGAGCGGACGAACATGCCACTCTCGCCTCGGCGCCGAGCAGACTTCGCCTGAAAGTGGCGTCCCCGCCTCGACGTGGCACATGTCTGTCACTCGCCCGTCATTGGGGGACCGCGCGAATGGGCGATTTGTTGCCTTCGCCAAGTTTCGTCCAATTTGGATCCGGAATTGCGTTCAACCGCGGGCGCGGAGCATGGTTCGTGCGCCGAATCGCATGGAAGCGGCGACAGCGGCAGCGGAGCGGCGCGAGAGACGGCGAAATGCGGAACTCGCCCAAACGCGGGGCAAAATGTGAGGCGGCGGCAAAGGTGGGCAAAGGTGGCAATGCTGTGGCGGCGCTGTGCATGCTTCGTCTGCGCCGCGCCCATTTGAAACATTGCCGCTCCCACCCCTGCGCGGCCCGCATCGTCTTCTCTTCGCCACGTCGTCGGAAGCGGGACCGCTGGCGAGCGCCTTCCGTTTGTGATGTGGAAGCGCGCTCCAATCCCAAGATCAAGTTGTGCAACAATGCATTATTCTGTTGCGGGAGGGAGGGTGGGAGTAGGCGGGGCCCTCTTCCTCCTCGCTCGACCTGGGGCACTTGACTCCTACTCCTATCACTCCTCCTCCTCCCCCCCTCCTCGTCCTCCCCCCTCCCTCCCTGGTCTGCCTGCAACTCCCGCTGCATGCCCCGCATGCTGCTCGAGATGGAGTCCAACTCGGCCTCCCCTCTTTCCGCGCACATGAGCCCAAGATAACAAGGAGGAGGAAAGGGGTTGAAGAGAAGGAGGAGGAAGCTCAAAACTCTTGTCGAGATATTCTGGCGCCTTCTGCCCTGGCAGAGTGCTTCGCCGGCGGGAGGGGGGTGCCCCTCCGCCCTAAGATCGAATGACAAGGAGGAGGAGAAGGAAGAGGAGGAGGAGGCGGAGGAAGTCGAAAGACCTCTGGTGCTCTCCTCCTCCTGGTGGCCGAACGGCCAGGCAGCACGCACGAGAGAAATGATCGTCATCATAACCATGCGGAGGCGTGCTGATCTTTGACTGATAGCTTCACTCTCTGTCGACAGTTCGGCGGGTCCCCGCCTTCATCTGTAAGCCAAAGGCTGCGGCGGGCGCAGGCATGCGGCAACGCTCGCTCCCGCTCTCCCTTGCACCCTTTCACTCGGGTCGGGAATTCGAGCGCTCTGCGCGGCACTCCAGCACACTGCGCACTGAGAAGGCCACTGGCTGCAGCCCGCTCAAGCGCCACTCACTGCTGAAGCCCAGCTTCACGAGGGCCGCCCGGTCGAGCTCGCCCTTCGTCAGCCCGTCCGCCAGCATGTCCACAGTGTCGATCCAGCTGAGCTGTGACAGCTGGAGGCGGTCGATCTGCTCACGCACTGCGAGCGTCGGCACGAACATACGCTTGTCCGTGGTCACCTTGATGGTGGCGGCGGAGACGGCGTCGAACACTGCCTCCGCGTCGATGGCCGCGATCATCTTCAATACTAGGTCGCCGGCCTCCTGCCGCACTCGCATCTGGTTCGCCGTGCATACTCCTTCACTGATCTCGGTCAATGCCACATTCATAAGGGTGCCGGTGCCGAGTGCGTCCAACAACGCCATGAGCTCGGCGGCGTAGGTGGACCTGACTACGTTGTTCTGCTTTCTGCTGTACCAGTCAAGCATCACGATCCTGTACGTCGATCCGGTTTGAAGCACATCGTCGTCGGACTCCAGCAACATGATCACATCCTCGGATCGCCAAGCCTTCGAACTCCATGGCGTGGAAGGCTGAGTCGCTGACGACGGCCAACCGCACTCGTGTCATGTCCAACTCGATGAACCGAACTCCGAGCTGATTCGAGTTCACCATGATCCACTTCAGCAGCCTGTTGATCTTCCGGATGTCTCCGACCGACGGCTTCTTGGCCTGCCGCTGGAGATAGCTGACGTACACTGCAATGGGCGCCATCGTCTGCGTCATCCATGCGATCCCCCCGAGCAGCGACATGTACGCCGCGTGGGTCTCCACGCTCACCTGGCCATCCTCGTTCTCCATCACATACTGGTCTTCCTGGAGCGGTCGCAGCTGCTGAACGTAGTGCTGCTGATGCGTCCAGATGGCCTTGGTCACAGCGTCCTGCTCGTGCATGATGCCAATGCACTCAAAGCAGTCGTACTGGCGCTTCAACTTCCCAAACTCGCTCTCGATCATGCTCAGTACCTTCTCCCGCAGGTAGTCCTCGCCGCCGCCCTTGAGGTCGTCCACGTGCGAGGACATGATCATCTGCAGCTGGACCTTCGCGTCGTGGTACACGTAGATCTGCGGGTCGCTGATGAGCGCCTTGCCTCCTGTCTTCTCCAGCACTTGCTTCGACATGACCTGCCACAGCCTCGGCGCGTCCTTCAGACCGAAGCCGCAGCGCAGGAGCAACAACACCTCTGTCACAGGGTTGTAGTCCTCGTAGCCCTCCAGCTGCCGGAGGACTGGGATCGATCCCGGCGGCGTCGTGAACTGTACCTTCCGCTTGACCTCGCCGTCCATGGCGGCGACCTGCTCGAAGGTGAGACCGCGCAAGAACGCCTGGCTGATGTCCGCTGAGAATAATCGCCACTTGCGCTGTGCAGTCACCTGATTCACCAGTCGTTGTCCCCATCGTGTCGTAGTACCCGCAAAAGTGGACAGCTCCGGTGACTGCATGTCCTTGAAGCCTCTCACCGTGAGCCTCGCGCGCACCTGCTTCTTGCCGTCGATCTCCTTCCACTTGAGCACCCAGCGCGAGTCGATGATGTTAGTCGCCTGGTCCTTCGGGAAACGCTGGAAGCCTTCAACTCCGCCCAGCGCTGGAGCTCGTCCTTCATGGCCTGACGTACTTCAACTTCGTGAGCTCGGGCCTCTTCCAGCGTGAGCACGTTCATCTCACGCTCGACGACAGTCTCGCGCTTGCCCGTGTTGTAGACGCGCAGGATGTAGATCTCCCCTGACCCAGGTCGTCGTATGTGCTCCACCTCAGGGTGCACCCAGTACATGAGCGGCGCACCTATGCCGATCTCGACGCAGTCGGGTCGGGAATTCGAAGAATCATCCTCTACTGCCTCCGACACGTGATCTGCGTCAGGGGCTGCGAAGAAGAAGTCGCTCTGAGCGCACTCGGTGTCAATAGCAGGCAGAGCGGCCTGCTCCTTCAGGTGCTGCCAGCTCGCGAACAAGTACTCCTGGGTCGCGTCGCTATCCGAATCGCCGTCGTCGCCCTTGCCACCATCATCTTTGATCGGGAGCACTGGCTCATGCAGGGGTGCAGGAGCCTCAGCTGCCGCCGCTGGCTCGCCTGCACCTCGGGCTCCATGATCACGGTCCGGGCCATCACGTGAGCGCGATCTCTCTCGAGCTCCCCCGCCTGGCTTCACAGGCGGCTTCACAGGCGGCACGGTGTTGTTGGCAGCGGCCGGAGCAGGGGGAGGCCCTCGTGGTCGATGTTGCCCTCGGTTGCTCCGACTCCTCGTCGAATCCGATGCTGCACTCGTCTGCCTGGATGCGCTCGATATGCTCGTGTCGGGCACTGGCATTGATGCACTTGTCTGTCTAGATGCGCTCGGTATGCTCGTGTCGGATACCGGCTTGTCCTGCCAGGTCATGTCGAAGTCTTCCTCCTGAAGCTCCGGCGGCTCCTGAAACGGTCCGGGTTCAGGTCGCTCTGGCTGTTCATACCGTCGTGCGCGTGGAAGGTTGCCGAACCACGGACCCCCAAGATGCGGAACCTCGGGTTCACGTCGCCGAAGTTCGCGAAAGGACTCGTCGTCCGTCATGATGAACTGCACGAAGCTGACGTCCCGCCAGTGTTCCTTGCCAAATATCGGAGCCAACTTCAGTCGGGCAGATCCCGACGCCTCGTGGTACCAGGACAGCTCTGGGCGTCCGCGCCGCCACCACCACAGGAAGCTGTGGTCGCATCCGACCATTCCTTCGAGCACGGACACGCCATTGCCCACTCGCGCGCCGATGCACCCCACCAGGTAGAAGCCACTGGCGGCAACGTGCAACACCGCCAGGACCAACTCGCTGAGCTTCTGGCTGTCCGCGGTCCGCTTCCACCCGGCGTCGAAGAGCCACCCGACGCGCACGACCTTGCTGTCCAGCTGGTCCGCGTAGCTCATGATGGTGGCCACCGGGTCGCGCGATCCTGCCTCGAAGAAGATGTTATTCGTGAACATCACGAAGTAAACGAGGCTTCGCCGAAGGTCCTGAGGTCGCACTTGAAATACTCGGCCCTGCCATCGAATGAGCACTGGAGGTCCGACCTGCAGCAAGGTCGCCGGGCCGCGCCATCCCGACTCCTCCTTCGTGCTCGGCGGCCGGTGGAAGTCAACCTGGTCGCCGACCACCAGCTGCAGCGCCTCGTGCGGGGCGCGCGTCTTGGATCGAAGTGCGCGCCTCAGCCTGTCCTTCGCGGTCATCTCCACCATGGCTTGTATTGCGACTTCGCGGAGCCGATGATGGTGTCGGGAGATCCCTGGAATGCCAGCCGATTGGTCGTCGATCTGGCAGTCGCTCACCGGCTCGAACTCGGCGAGCAGGGGCGGAAGTCGGCCGTGCACCGCCTGGTAAGGGCTGTAGCCAGCCACGGTGATGAGGAGGCTCTTGATGAGGGCACACTCCATGATCACGATCTCCAACGGCATCGCAATGCCTTCTTCCGCAAGCTGGGCCTGCACGCGGTGTATGATCTTGCGCACTAGGTCGTGATGGCGTTCCACCAGCTGCGCGTGCGAGCCCTCCTCTTTGGCCTTCATCTCAATGCCCCAGCGGTCCAGCCACTGGTACGCCTCCTCGCCATGGAGACCGCCCTCGATGTCAGCAATCAGCAGCTTCATGGGGCCATGAGGGCGTAGCCATCCCTGAGTGATGCCGGCGATAATCATGATCGCTGTCTTGCGTTCCAGAATGTACAGCACCGTCCAGCGGGTCGCCTAATCGATCATGCGTGCTACCATCTGTTCGCCGATGTAGAGGATGTCCCACTGCACCATCTCGTTGAAACCCGTCGCGAGCCGAGAGATCGTCATGCTCTTCGGTCCCGGTCTCGTCCATAGCCTACACACCCGGCACGTGTCGCAGATCTCCTTCACCAGGGCCAGCGTAGAGGCAGGAGCGCCGGCCTTGGTCAGAAGCTCTCTGAGGCGAGCTGCTGGAGCGTGCCAAAATCGAACATGAAGTCGTCGAATCTGGCGCCGAACGACTTCCTGGCGTGGGCTGTGCAGCAGTCGAAGCGCGTGCCCGAGGTCAAACGCGGCCCAGCCTGGCTCGTCACTTCCTCGAGCCTGCGTCCCCGCATCCACGCCTCGGGCTGGCGCGGCTGGGGCCGCAGCCGGCTGCTCCGCGACGGGTGCCTCAACGATGGCGTCCGCCGATCCCGAGGCGCCGCCTGATGTCTCGTCCGGCTCCGCCTCTCCAGCTGCTGGCAGACGCGATCGCAGTCGCCGTGCCGCCGCCGTCGCTCGAGCCACTCGAGGTCGACGCTCCGCAGGCACAGGTGGAGGCAGTGGCGGTTCAGGTTCGGCATCTGGCGCGTCGGCTCGCGCGGCGCTCGGTGCCTGGTTCGCAGTCGGCTCCTCGGAGGCTGGTGGTTGTCTCGGTCGTAGCTCTCGAGGTCCAACTGCTCTTGGGAGAACACTGTCTGCTCGGCATTCTCCAGGTATTCGGGCATGTCGTGTGTCTGAGGCCGCGCGACCACTCCGGCAAGCCGGGCACTTCAGGTCGCGATTCGTCGGCACAAATCTATGCTTGCATGTCTCCCCTCGATCATGGGCTGGGTGGTCAGCCGGCCGATGATGCCGACATCCAGCGCACGGCTGCGCAGCGCGCGGTACTCCTGCTGTAGACGCTGCTGCTGGTGATGCCGCTGCTGCTGCTCCTGAAGCTGGTGCTGCGGCTGCTGCTGCTCCAGAGTCTGATGCTGCGGCTGCTGCTGCTCCCGAGGCTGGTGCTGCGGCTGCTGCTGCTCCAGAGGCTGGTGCTGCGGCCGCAGACGCCGAGGAAGCAGAGGAGCCAGCTGGTCCGGATTGCACAGCGGCCGCGGGGTAGCACTCGTACACCACGAGGTGGTGTCCCCGATGCCTCACGCGCTCCACCATCTGGGAGATGCTCGCCGCCAGCTCCCGGCAGATGCCAATCGCCCACTCCGCGTGATCCTTGGGGTTCTCTAGTCGCCATTTGTCACGCTCTGGATGGGGTCCTCGGCCACCATGGGCCAGCAAAGCGTGATCGCGCTGGCCGTCGCAGCGAAACTTCCTGAGTCCGGCGAGCAGGCGCTCGTCCGAAGCCCAGAACTCAGAGGACTTCTTGATCGGTAGTCCCGTTCGCCGCCCGATCTTGCCGGCCATGCACTGGTCGACTTGGCACCACGCCAGCGCGTAGTTGTTGGCGATGAATTGCCAGTCGTCGAGCTTGTAGAAGTCGCTGCCCAACGGCTGCTCCGACACAAAGTGGCGTCCGGCGTCCATCTGAGTGCACGCCGCTGCAGCGGCGATGCGGGCCAGCCCCACTGATGTCTTGCGACTGCGAAGCCAACCGTCGTAGTTGATGACCTTGTTGAGCGCCGAAAACCCCTTCAAGCTCGTACAGGGCGTGCTAATGAGTAAAACAAGAGGCTTGCCATGATACAGATATTCCCAAAACTGCCTCTGGCCCTCGTGCGTCATCAAATTGCAATCGCAAATGAGATCGAAGTTGGGACCGCCCCGATGTCCTCGTCGCACGAGTAGCCGGGTTGTTCCAGATGCGCCACCGCACAACTCCGCGACGTCGTCGCGCTGCAGGTGGCCGTAGTAGAGGTTCATGTGTGTGTCCATGTCCTTGACTGAGCTGAAGAAGTTATGCTGCTCGTCTTTCTCGTTCAGGTGCGCCTCCGAGCCGATCATGCCAAAGAACTCGGACATCATGATGTACGGTTGCTCATCGATGTGCTGGTCCTCCCTGAGCTCGGTGCCGTAGCACACCTCGTCCAGCTCGTATTCGTTCGCTACGTAGAGTTTCGTGAAATCGGAGCCGCAGTCGTCGAAGACCTGCTCCACTGTCTGTGGCCTCTTCTTCACCTTGCGCTCCGGGTCTGCTGCCTTGCGCGCCTTGTCGCGCGTCCTCTGCTCGGTGGGAAAGCTCGCGGTCAGCGCGCTCACCTTGCAGCCGGTCTCGTCGACGTCGTCCGCGAATGATACTCGGCCAGGGCGACGTCGCTCACCTCGCGGCTGCTCCTCGCCGGCTTCTCTCAAGGCCGCTGTCCGAGATCCTGGAGGCCCGGCAGTCGTCGGATCAGTCCTCGACGACCCGGGTCGGGAATCACCCCCGGCCTCACGGCGTGGTGTAGCTGTCGCAGATGGCGACAATCCGTCGGCTGCGTCGGATCTCGCGCCGCCGTCGAAGCAACCAGCGGCCACCATCCGCTTGACCAGAGCAGATACCCCTCTGGCCTTGAAGTCCAACCGATCTGCAGCAGTCTTCCGTGTAACATGTCGGCCTGCTGGCCAGCCGCAGCGGCACTTCGCGTCGTGGTCGTCGAAGTAGCTGCTGCTGATGATGCGTGTAGTCTGAGCTGCTGGTGATCCTCGAGCATCACGCACACCGAGATTGCACCATCGTAGTCGTCCTGAGTGCCACCTCCTGTCGTCCAGCAGCTCCAGGATGTCGGGCACGTCCCACGCCGCGCTGCCCTGGTCCGCCTCGACGATGCAGCAGCGATGCCCTTCAAGTTGAGCTCGAGCGATCTTACATTCGAAGCGCTTGGCTCGCTTGTCGTTGCGAGTGCCTCGCGACGTGCCCGGCTGAGCCAGGCTGATCCAAACGAGCTCCGGCTGCTGGTGGCGCAAGGAATCCGCCCACTTATCCTCCTGCCCGAGGAATCTGTGAACATCACAGTTGCGACCCGCCGCATATCCGCATCCGTGCAGCGCGTTCTGGCACAGGTTCTGCAAGTCGCCGAACACCCATGCCGATGGCGGTCTCCCCTGTACTTCCCTGGTGCCCCCGCCGTCCCGAGCACCGAGATGGGGTGTCTTCGATCAGAGGTGCAGGCTGCCCGCGTCGGGCTGCCCGCTGGCGCTGTCCGGTGCGGCACCACTGCCGGATGACGTCGCCGTAGTTGTCTTCCTGCTTGCCGTCCTGGTGGATGCGGTAGTCGGTGCGGTTGCTGCAGGTAAGGATGTCGGATCTGATGTCGTCGAAGTCGCCAATGCCATCGTCCTCGTGGGTCCCGAACTCCCCGATGTTCCCGTCTCGTCGTAGAGGTCGCAGGGCAGCATGAGGTGACCGGCGTGGCTCTCTTCCAGATGGTACTGCGATGATCCTGGGCTCAGCTGCAGGGAGTAGCCGCCCGGGCCGATGCGGTACATGCGATTGTTGAAGCAGTCGAGCAGTATGCGCTGGTCCCGCAGCGGTGCTCGCCCGAGCAGTGCCGGCACGCTGCTGTTCGGGGGCACCGGCGCCTCGTAGGTCGCGGCTTGTCCCCCCTGCAGCGCCAGTTGATAGCGATGGGCGCGCGTGGCCTGCTGAGATCCTGAGCCCACACCACCAACCTCAAGCACCCGGTCAAGTGGGGTGCGGACAGGCGGTGGACGTCCTGCCTGCTGCTGTCGCGCTGCCATCCTGTTGCCCCACTCGTCGCCAGTAAGGTTGCCTGGGCTCCCGGGGTCCACCAGCAGAGCCTCGCCACTCCTGTCCTTCATGCGGGTGCGAACCAAGTAGGTCTCCCCGCTGGCGTTCTCGAACTGATCCACTCGCCACCATGGGAACCATGTCGGGCTGGTCACGACCGCTGATCGCCCAACTGTCGCCGGAGGCTGCTCCTCCACAGCTCGGTCCAGCATGCTGGCCTGGATCTCCGTCAGTATGTCGTGCTCCGCGACGTTGTCGCGCATGTCAAGGGTCTCCCAGCTCAGAGCCTCGCGGGAGGTGTCCTCGTCAAGATCGTCGATCTGCAGGCCGGGCGTCCTGGCGTCCTCAGTGAACCAGTGCAGCACTCCAGACAAGGCTCCAGTCCGCGGCTGCGCGGGCACGGGCGCATAGGCGGCCAACGTTGGGTCGGCGGCAGGAGCCCCGGCCTGCTGCGTCCCCGTCGCGGCGCTGCCAGTGTTCCAGGACATGAAGTGCTTGCCTTTGCCCTTGCCCTTACGCTTGGGACAGGCGGCCACGAGGTGAGTCTCCGAGTCGCACTCGTGACACCGCATCGTGCGGCCGTCACTGCCTCGGGGATTGGTGGCGCCGGGCGTGCCAGCCATGTAGTGCTTGCCGCCCTTCTTCTTCTTACCTTTTCCTCCCGCCAGTGAGCCTGGGTTCACCACCGATCCGCCGAAGTGGTATCCCTTGCCGTGGCCTCGCCCGCGTCCAAAGCTGCTGCCGCCCTTGCCGCTGTTCATGCGTAGAGACCAGTTGCTGCGCGGGAAACGAGAGCGGCGGCTGTTGAGTTGGACGAAGTGGCGAAACCTGCGCTTCGCGAACAGGTACTCATGTAGCAGGGTGTCGTAGTCCCAGCCCTCGGAGTCACCATAATACTCCTGCAGTTCTTCCTGAGTGAACTGGGAAGTGTCCAAGTCGTCGTCGTCGGTCATCGAGTCATCGCCCCCGGGCTCGTCCTCGTGCAGGTAGCTCGAGCAGACGGCGCAACAATCGTAGCCCTCGTCGTCCTGGACCACGTAGTGCTGCGGTGCAGATCCAGCGCTCCCTGCCGCGCTGGCTGCGTTCTGACCATACATGTAGGCGGCCGTGTCGTTCCAGGTGTTTGCGCCGCTGTCATTCTCGCCCGTGAACCAATGATGACCGTGATATCCTTTGCCGCGGTACCCTTCAGCCAAGTTCTGAGGTCCTGCGTGAGTGTGCTCCGCGAAGTGGCCCTGCTGCCGCACCATCCCGATCACGCTGTTCAGCTGATCGATCGTCAATGGCAGCTGGCCGCTGTTGGACTGCAGCACCAGGGGGTACACAGCCTTGGGCACATGCAGGGCCTCCAGAAACAACAGCGAGAGCACCGGCGTCGGCAGCACGAACGGGTCGTCCAGCTGCGCCACTCGGGCGCGCAGAGCCTCGAAGCGCGTGATCGCGTCATCGACGCTCTCCCGCTCCTGCCTGCGGAATGTGAGAAGCTCGACGATGGTGCTGATCGATGACTGTACGTCAAGCGGGCCGAAGCGCCGCCTGAGTCCGGTGATCAGCATCTGCACTCCATCCTCGACCAGGTTGCCGAGCTGGTCGAACCTGCCGTGAGCGATGGCCTCGACCGGCACCTCGCGGCAGAGGTCCCTCGCAGTGCCGCCGAGCCGCTGGACGATTGCCGGGCCGCGCTGGTGCTGTTGCAGCTCCGTCGCCGCGCACCACAGCATCACGTCCTGGACCCAGAGCCTGAAGGGGTACCCGCGCTGCTCGAGGTACGGAGCCCAGAACGGCGGGACCTTGGATGTGCTCTGCTGTGCCAGCTCTGCCGCCGGCAGACCCTGTACGTTCTGCTCGTGATGCTGTCCCCACTGTGGTGCCGGTAGCCGCGACTCGCCGATGCGCTGGCCGCGCTGCGGCGTCATGGGCCTGAAGCCCAGGGGCTCTGCCGAGCCCGCTACGTTGATCAGGATGCCGAGGAGACCGATGCGCAGCACGATCTTGCTCGGCGTCGAGCTCGTCGAAGAGGAAGAGCATCCAGTACTTGATGAGATCGTGGCCTGCGCAAGGCAGGCCGCACATGGAGCGGTCGTAGCACAGCAGGTACAACGCCTTGAGCTCGACTCAACCCCATTGCCGTGGTCGCCACGCTGCGGCCTCTCGCCGCCCACGTCGCACGCAGAGCCAGCCGGACTTGCAGCCGACCCTGCAGAGCCCACCGGCTCCGCTACCAGAGTCGAAAGACCTCTGGTGCTCTCCTCCTCCTGGTGGCCGAACGGCCAGGCAGCACGCACGAGAGAAATGATCGTCATCATAACCATGCGGAGGCGTGCTGATCTTTGACTGATAGCTTCACTCTCTGTCGACAGTTCGGCGGGTCCCCGCCTTCATCTGTAAGCCAAAGGCTGCGGCGGGCGCAGGCATGCGGCAACGCTCGCTCCCGCTCTCCCTTGCACCCTTTCACTGAGGAGGACGAGGTGAAGGAGGAGGAGGAGGAGGGAGAGGAGGAGGAGGAGGACGAGGAGGAGGAGGACGAGGACGAGGAGGAGGAGGACGAGGACGAAGAAAAGGAAGAGACGGCCGCGCGCGGCATGGGCGGCGCAGGGCGGGAGCAGGTGGAGGAGGAGGGGGAGGAGGAAGAGGAGGAGGAGGAGGAGGAGGAGAAGGAGGAGGAGAAGGAGGAGGAGGAGGAGGAGAAGGAGGAGGGAGAGGAGGAGGAGGAGAAGGAGGAGAAGGAGGAGGAGGACGAGGAGGGGAGGAGGAGGAGGATGAGGGAGGAGGAGGAGGAGGAGGAGGAGGAGGAGGGAGAGGAGGGAGAGGAGGAGGAGGAGGAGAGGAGGAAGAGGAGGAGGAGGAGGAGGGTCAGGAGGAGGAGGAGGGGAAGTATTAGAGCAGGAGGAGGAGGGGGAGAGGAGGAGGGGGAGGAGGAGGAGGGAGAGGAGGAGGAGGAAGGCGCTTTCAAGGACCGGCGTGAAAGCCGACTGTGGTCTCGAGGGTATGGCCGCGCGCCCCCGAGGCTCCCCGCCCTCGCTGCCCCTTGGGGCCTGCGCCAGCCATCCTCGTGGGACGGGGCCATGCAGCTGTCCGAGGCAGGAGGCGGCCTGTGTTGCCAGAGTTGCGAGAACAAGAGGAGGAGGAGGAGGAGGAGGAGGAGGAGGAGGAGGAGGAGGAGGAGGAGGCCGAGGACGAGGAGGAGGACGAGGAGGAGGAGGAGGAACAAGTGTGCCCAGGGGGTCCGAGTTGCGAGAACAAGAGGAGGAGGAGGCGGAGGACGAGGAGGACGAGGAGGAGGAGGAGGAACAAGTGTGCCCAGGGGGAGAACGTGCGGAGGTTCTGTCTTGGGCCCTGCGGGGATAGTCGCGTGCTGCTGACCGGCTTCGTCGAGTGCCGTTCCCCTCTAAAACAGGAGTGGGAATCTTGTCCCGACTCTCGATGGCTGCATCCCCAAGAGTGGAGTTGGCGCGACCTGGTCACCTTGTCCCCAACGCAATCCGAACCGAACCGGATTCCTCCCTCGCAGCGCGCATTACTCGCAAGCCTTTTCGTCGACGCACGAGCGGACGAACATGCCACTCTCGCCTCGGCGCCGAGCAGACTTCGCCTGAAAGTGGCGTCCCCGCCTCGACGTGGCACATATCTGTCACTCGCCCATCATTGGGGGACCGCGCGAATGGGCGATTTGTTGCCTTCGCCAAGTTTCGTGCAGTTTGGATCCGGAATTGCGTTCAACCGCGGGCGCGGAGCATGGTTCGTGCGCCGAATCGCGTGGAAGCGACAGCGGCAGCGGAGCGGCGCGAGAGAAGGGGAAAAGGCAGGCAAAGGTGGCAATGCTGTGGCGGCGCTGCGCATGCTTCGTCTGCGCCGCGCCCATTTGAAACATTGCCGCTCCCACCCCTGCGCGGCCCGCATCGTCTTCTCTTCGCCACGTCGTCGGAAGCGGGACCGCTGGCGAGCACCTTCCGTTTGTGATGTGGAAGCGCGCTCCAATCCCAAGATCAAGTTGTGCAACAATGCATTATTCTGTTGCGGGAGGGAGGGTGGGAGTAGGCGGGGCCCTCTTCCTCCTCGCTCGACCTGGGGCACTTGACTCCTACTCCTATCACTCCTCCTTCTCCCCTCCTCCTCGTCCTCCCCCCTCCCTCCCTCCCTGGTCTGCCTGCAGCTCCCGCTGCATGCCCCGCACGCTGCTCGAGATGGAGTCCAGCTCGGCCTCCCCTCTTTCCGCGCACATGAGCCCAAGATAACAAGGAGGAGGAAAGGGGTTGAAGAGAAGGAGGAGGAAACTCAAACTCTTGTCGAGATCTTCTGGCGCCTTCTGCCCTGGCAGAGCGTTTCCCGGCGGGAGGGGGGTGCCCCTCCGCCCTAAGATCAAATGACAAGGAGAAGGAGAAGGAAGAGGAGGAGGAGGCGGATGAGGAGGAGGTGAAGGAGAAGGAGGAGGAGGAGGAGGAGAGGTGAAGGAGGAGGAGGAGGAGGAGGAGGAGGAGGAGGGAGAGGAGGAGAAGCAGGACGAGGACGAGGAGGAGCAGGAGGAGGACGAGGAGGAGAAGGAGGACGAGGAGGAAGAAAAGGAAGAGACGGCCGCGCGCGGCATGGGGAGGAGAAGGAGGAGGGAGAGGATGACGAGGAGAAGGAGGAGGAGGAGGGGGAGGAGGCGGAGGAGAAGGAGGAGGGACAGAAGGAGGAGGAGGAGGAGGAAGAGGAGGAGGAGGAGGAGGAGGAGGAGGAGGACGAGGAGAATGAGGAGGAGGATGAGGAGGAGGAGGAGGAGGAAGAGGCGACCTCCACAACCAAATTGAGCGGAGCGGAGCGGGGAAGGAGCCGGGACAGCAACGGGAAAGCGCAGCGAGACGGGGAGGGGTGCCGAGAAGGCCGGAAGTCACGGGGGGAAGCGGAGGAGCGGGAACTGAAAATCGCCCCCCGGACTCCTCCAGGGGTCCAAAGGTACCAATGCTCCCAGCAGCGTCCGGCCGTGGCGACGAAGGGCCCCCCGACGGTCAACCCTGAAATCGCCCTCCTTTGACGAACGCCCCCCACTGATCCTCGCGGTCTCTTTCGGTCAAATCTCCGGTCTCTGGCGGCCGTTCGGGACGATCCGAACACCCCCGGTAGGCTCACGGCGAGGCGCAGCTGCCGGAAAGCACCCCGAAGCAACACAAACAAAAAAACGAGACGTACCGAAATCGCCCAAGAACCTCGAAGACCTCGACCCTCGCCCTCCACCTTGAACGCTTCCAACCTCACCCCTTGGAGGCAGAGATCCTACGACGCGTATGCTGCCCCTGTGCAGAATAGAGGGCAGAAAATCCACCCCGATAATAACCACCCCGACACGCGAAGCCGTTTAGTAAGCGCACCCAAAGAAAGAATCAAAGAGGGCAGGGCTGTGTGTTAAACGCCCAAGGCCGTTTAGTAAACGCCAATTGTCCGGTCAGGGTGGCTTTTCCTCCCTTGACAGAAAGGGCCCCCTCCGCGAGCTCGGAACGCAGGGTGCTGCACTCCGTCTCCAGCCCGCGCCGCAGCGCGGCGACCTGGCGGGCGAAGGCCCCAGCGGGCGGGCGGTCGCCAGCGGCCGTCGCAGAGAGGTCCGTGGCGCTGGCTGCCGACGGCGGCGGCGGCGACGATCAGGAACGGCGAGAATTGGAAGCGGAAAATTCACACTATTGCTTTAAAGGGGCCATTTGCTTGGGCCCAGGCGGACATCGTGTCTTTCCTTCCACCCACAACTTGTCAAACCTAATGGTGGGGAAACTACGCATCTGAATAAAGAAGGTCTGGCTTAGACAAGCGCGTTCCACTACTCGCAAAGCATCTGCTCGCAAATGGCCTGGATTCGCCGCGGGAGATTCCGGATGGATTCGCCGCGGGGGATTCCTGGATTCGATCGATGCAAATGCATGTTCTTGTTCGGACGTTTGCGAGTAGGCCCGTTGCGAGTAGTGGAACGCGCTCGGTGATGGCTTCGCGAAGGGTGATTTTGACGGTTTGCCATGCCGGCGCCCACGGCGAGCGGCGCGGCCCGTGCCAGAGGTGGGGAGCCCAGCCGCACGACGCCCGACCGAGGCCGAGGCACGGCTGACGGCGATGGTGGCGATCGTGGTGACTGAGGGTCGGCAGGCGCGTTCCTCTACTCGCAGAGAAACTACTCGCAAATGGCCTGGATTCGCCGCGGGAAACTCACGATTCACTACATCGAGACAAACACGAGATTTTGTTGTTCAGACGCTTGCGAGTAGGTGTTTTGCGAGTAGTAGAACGCTCTCGGTGAGCACGCGGTTCGACCGAAGCCGAGCCGAGCATCTGCTGACGATGATGACGGCGATCATGGTGGCTGAGGGGGCCCACGGGGACACAACATGAGCGACGAAAAACAAAACGGGTCTTACGCGAGACGACGTAGCGACCTTACGCGGGCACCCAGCGCCGCACGCTGCGTTAGAGACGAATGCGCTTACGCGCGGCCTTACGCGGGCAGCTTACGCGCCAATGTTGGCGCAGTCGTCCAAATGAAGAAAAACACACGCCAGGACTCCCGACAAACTTCCCCATATTGTCTGGATCTGCGGCTTCCCTTCCACTTCCCCTTGTTTCCAAACCTCTTTCCTGGGAGTCGACGTTTCTTTGTCTATCTACTCTTCACTCCTGACTAGCGACGTATGAATCCGACCAGCCCTCTGGGCGACAGGTGGTCTAACGATGTCGTTCTTCCTTCTTCCACAACCCCTTATTTCTTCCCCTCCGGGGACGGGTTTATCACTGCTCCCTATTCACACCCCCCAAAGCGACTGGGAGCCAACCCGAGCCAATGAGGGCCTCCCCCACCATCCCTTTGCAAAAAAACACAATGCAAAACACACTCTGCCTCCAAATTCGGAGCATGCGCAGCGAACCCGATGCGGCCTCTCCCCACTATCCCTGTCAAAAAGAACAATACAAAATACACTTGGCGGCGGCGTCGGCTGCGTCGGCTGCGGCGGGGGCAGCGGCTGCGGCGGCTGCAGCGGTGGCAGCGGCGGCGACGGGGGCGGCGGCGGGGGCTGCGGCGGCGTCGGCGGCGGCGGTGGTGGCGGCTGCGGCGGCAGCGGTGGCGGCAGCGGCTGCGGCGGCAACGGCTGCGGCGGCGGCGATTCGGCACCGGGGGCGGCGGCGGCGGCGGCGGCGGGCGGCGCGGTGGCGGCGGCGGCGGCGGCGAACAACGGCGGCGGCGGCGGCGGCGCGGCGGCGACGGCGGCGGGCGGCGGCGGCGGCGGCGGACGGCGGCGGCGGCTGCGGCGGCGGATTCGCCCCCAGTAGCTGCCCATCCAAAGACAGTTGCTGAATATGCTGCGGCTCGGGCCAGGCTCGGGTGCTACGTATGTGTTGGGAGGGCGGGTGGGAGTGAGCTAGACGGCTTACGGGCGGGGAGGGCGTCTTGATTACTGTTCCCTATTTGTATACACCCCCCCAAGCGACTGGGAGCCAACCCGAGCCAATGAGGGCACCCCCCCACCATCCCTTGTAAAAAAACAATACAAACCACACTCCGCCTCCAAAGTCGAAGCATGCACAGCGAATCCGATGCGGCCTCTCCCCACAATCCCTGTCAACAAAGAACAATATACAGTACACTTGGCGGCGGCGGCGGCGGCTGCGGCGGCTGCGGCGGGGGCAGCGGCTGCGGCGGCGGCGGCGGTGGCGGCGGCGGGGGCGGCGGCGGGGGGCGGCGGCGGAGGCGGCGGCGGCGGCGGGCGCGCGGCGGCTGCGGCGGCGGCGGACGCGGCGGCGGACGGCGGACGGCGGCGGCGGCGGCGGCGGGCGGCGGCGGCGGCGGCGGATTCGCCCCCAGTAGCGGCCCATCCAAAGACGACTACTGAATCTGCTGCGGTTCGGGCCAGGCTCGGGTGCTACGTATGTGTTGGGAGGGCGGGTGGGAGTGAGCGAGACGGCGTGCGGGCGGGGAGGGCGTCTTGACCCCTCCCCCTACCCCCCTCCCCTGGACCTGGGCGGGGTGCCCTGCGATGTGGCAGAGAGTCCCTTTTCGGCCCTTGGGAGGGCCAATCTTTGACACCCCTCACGAGGATCGTGGCACCCGAGGAGGGGGGGGGGGGGGGGGCAAATCTAGGACCCCCCCCTCCTTTGATCGATGGTCCCCAAGACTGCCACAAGAGGCGCTCCAGGGCTCCCAAGAGAGCCCCAAGACAGCCCCTCTTGGGCCCCAACAGGGTCTCAAGAGGGTCCCAACAGGGCCCCAAGAGGCCCCCGAGCGGCCTCCGAGAGCCCAAGATGACCTCCAAGATGGCCCAAATAGCCCAAGCTGGCTCAAGATGGTTCCCAAGATGCTACAAATGGCCCCAAGACCGCTCCAAGAGCGCTCCAAGAGAGCCCCAAGAAGCGGTTTGCGGGCTCCTGAGGGGGGAGCTGAGTTGGGGACCCCCCATCCTGCAATCGATGGCCTCCAAGATGATCCCAGGAGGGTTCCAAGAGGGCCCCAAAAACTCCCAGGGAGCACAAGCAGCAGCAGCAGCCGCAAGAATACCTCTAGATGGTTCCATGGACCCTCGTCCTCCTCGTCCTCATCCTAGTCCTCGTCCGCCTCGTCCTCGTCCTCATCCGCGTCCTCGTCCTCCTCGTCCTCCTCGTCCTCATCCTCATCCTCCTCATCATTCTCCTCCTCTTCCCCTCGCCCCCACGCGGCCCCCAGGGATGGCCCAAAGAGGCCTCCCAAGACCACCCCCTTGCTCCCAGAAATCTCTCGGTTCAACCTGGTTGCTCGCTTGAAGATCGAACGTTCTGGAAACGGCTGGTCGTTCCAAGTTGAACAATCCCCGCGGTGTCAGAAACCAGCGCCGAAGTCGGCACGACACGAACCTGCCGCACAAGGGTGCGACGAGATGCCGTGGCTAAAAGACCCAGGCCGAGGACCCCCCTCCAGGACCAGGAGAGCCAAGAATCTAATCGATAAGGCGGATCGGCAATCGAATCAAATCTGATCGAAAGAAATCGGCAGCCGAGTCGGGAAAGGTCGAATCGGCGAAAATCGGCAGGCTAGTTGGTCTCAATTGAGGAATCAGAGCCCAGATCGGAATCCGAAGTCGAACCGAATCATAATCGGAAGCCATCGAAATCAAACCGAATCGAATCGGATGAATCAAACTGAGCCCTGACTAGGACACGCACGGCACGGCCCAGGGAAGCGCGACGGGAACAGCCCCCGAGCCCAAACCCCCTGAACGTTGCTCCTGACACGGTAAATGATGCTGCTGCTGCTGCTGCTGCTGATGATGATGATGATGCTGACGACATTGACGATAGTGGTGATGGTGGTGATGAAGTTGATGATGGTGGTGAGACTGACAGTGGTACTATGATAAGTGTTAGTGATGATGCGCGTCTCGCGTTTGCGTGGCATCCCTGCGCAGGGGGCATGTTCAATGTTTATCTTTTTGGAATCGTTCCAACTGTCACGAGGTCACGAGTAACCCCCGAAATATTGTTTTCGAGAGGTCTCGCACGACTTCGAACCGCGATCGCTGGATGCAGACATGATGATGATGATCGACCGTACCTGCGCAGCCTGCCTCCCACTAGCCCAGCCATCTACAGCGTGCTTGGCAGCGGCGATGGCGACTCGCATATGATTAGCGTTCGCTGCGTTAGCGTTCGTGCGATGCCGTGCACCATCGTCGCCGAGACACCGAGACGCATTGTAGCTTGGCAGCCGCAGTTGCATTCGGCGCAGTTGCATTCGCTGTCGGCTCCAAGGCCGACGATGAGATGAAGAGAAGCGGGGAGGCCGAGCAGCTCACGGAGGACGGAGCAAGAGAGGACATGGGAGACCGAATCAGGCTAGATCGGACACCCGAACAGGCAGGGCACGAGGCCGCAAATGTGTATGCGGCACGGGGTGGTCCAGCATATCGCCATCGTGTTGAAGAACGCCCATTGCCAGGCAGACCTGAAGTGCGGAGAGTGTTGAGCCAGTCTGTCCAACGATCGCGTACAATTCCCACGATGCTGTGCAGAAGGCCCCGCGAACTGAGTCGCTTTGAACTCACTGCTGGGGTAGAGGGAGGTACGGAGGAACGAGGGAAGGGCACGCTGGACTTTGGGTTTGAGAACAGCACTGGCTACATCCTGCAACTCGGTGCATGCAGCTGCTTGCCCGTCCACCCACGCACGTGCTTAGTGATGCCTATATGTGGGGGCTGGGTGAGAAGAGCTTGAAAGCACTGGGCGATTCCCTGCTTTTGCTTCCAGCAGGGGGCGCTTCATTTTCTGAAGTACCCATGCAGCCAGAGGGGCACGACCAGATCACCGCTTCGCTAAACTCGGCGAGGCGGCCTTCCAAACCTTAGCGATGATGATGATGACGATGATGGTGGTCATGGTGATGATGACGGTGGTAATCTGATTCGTACCATTGGTTTGGGGGCGGACCAACAAAATAAGTGTGAACGACCGATGAAGACCTATGTCCTGGCATATGTGTGAAAGCCATATTTTCGGCAAACCAGTGCGCACATACCAGTTCTAGGTCGGGTGCCAAGGGGAGCAAAGCAAGCATGAGGGGGATGATAATGATACGATTTACGATGACGATGCCGATGACGACGACGATGACGACGACGATGATGATTATGACGATGATTATGGTCATTATGACGATGACGAGGACGATGGCGATGATGATGATGATGATGCTGATGGCGACGATGATAATACTGATGCTGATGCTGATGCTGATGATGATGACTACGACGATGATGATGATGATGACGACGATGATGACGATGTTGATGATGACGATGACGACGATGATGATCATAATGATGGTGGTGATGAGGACTGATGCTGATGCTGATGCTGATGCTGATGGTGACGATGATGCTGATGCTGATGGTGGTGGTGACGACGACGACGATCGATGCTGACGATGCGGATTGCTTGACCCGCGAAGCCCGTGAGCCGCCGCGGCCGGGACGCCGCCCTCGGCGCACGGGTCGCAGCAGAAGGCGCCGCAGAAGCGGGGCGCCGTCACGGCGTGCCTGCGCTCAAAGGCCGAGAGCTTCTCCAGCTCCTGTGGGGCGCACCGCGCGCAGGATCCAGGCAGAAGAAACTCAAGACAGACAAACACGAAAACAGGAATCACGAGACAAAACAAACCATGAAAAAAAGAGTGCTCATCAAAAACACTTGTTGTGTATGCCTTCGTGCTTGTTCCTGTCTTCGTTTTTCTGGCTGCTGTGGGGCGCACCGCACGCAGAATCCGCCACTGTGCGGCACGCGGGCGCGCGCGCGCTCCCCCGTTTCCCCTTCCCCCGCCCCGTCGGTCGTCTGTCGCTCGTCTGTCTTGTCGTGCCGCTGGGCTCCGTCTGCGCTGGTACAAAGTGCGGCTGAGGAGTGGAAGAATGCCAAGGGCTGCCTGGCAGGGTTTCTGCAGTCTTCCAAGGGACCCCCTCCGACCTCCCAGTCACACCCAGGGGACTGCACCACCCCTGCTCCCGGGGTAGCCATGGCCTCCCAACGGCTCTCCAAGGCTACCATCACGGCCCAGGAAGCCCCCGAGACGGTCCCAGAGGGCCCCGAAACACTGAACGATCGGTCGAAGACGCCCAAGATGGCCTCAAACCGTCCCAAGTGGCCTCCAAGACGACCCAAGGGGTCTCCAGGAAGTATCCCCAGAGGGCTTTGAAAGGCAAACACCATTGATAGTCACAAATTGCTTGAAGGATTTTGGCGTTCTCGCCGTTCCACTTACCGACGATCCGAGACGGCCCAGGAGGCCCCAGAAACCAGACTAAAACAGCCCAAGAAGCATCCCAGAGGACCCCAACACGGCCTAAGAACGCCATAAGACGCCCCAAGACTACCGCCCAAGACGGCCCAAGAGGGCACCAAAACGGGCCCAAAAGAGGAAACACGAACCGACAATCCGGGCCTCCCGACCTAAGAGGGCCAAAAGAGGCCCCAAAAGGCTGCAAACCGGCCGAAGACAACGACGGGGCCACTGAGGGTAGCAACTGGGCCACGTAGGACAGCGAGGGGGCCACGAAGGGCGACAGCGGGGCCATGAAAGGCATGCATATGGGGCCACGACGGGCGCGAATGAGCGGGGGCCACGAAGGGAATATAATATATATATATATATATATATATATATATATATATCTGTGGGGCCCCGAAGGGCAGCGAGGGGGCCACTGAGGGCCTGCAACGGGGGCCACGAAGGGAAGCGAGGGGGCCACGAAGGGCTGCAACGGGGCCACGAAGGGCAGCGCGGGGGCCACGAGGGCCTGCAACGGGGGCCACGGAAGGCATGCATCTGGGGCCACGACAGGCGCGAACGAGCGGGGGCCACGAAGGGCATACATATATGGGGCCATGAAGGGCAGCGAGGGCGCCATTGAGGGTAGCAACTGGCCACGAAGGGCAGCGAGGGGGCCACGAAGGGCTGCAACGGGGCCACGAAGGGCAGCGAGGGGGCCACGAGGGGCCACGAAGGGTTGCAACGTGGCCACGAAGGGCAGCGAGGGGGCCACCAAGGGCTGCATATGGGTCCACGGAACAAAACGAGGGGGCCAAGGGGGCCACCAAGGGCTGCAACGAGGCCACGAAGAGCAGCGAGGGGGCCACGAAGGGCTGCAACGGGGCCATGAAACAAAGCGAGGGGGCCACGAAGAGCTGCAACGGGGCCACGAAACAAAGCGAGGGGGCCACGAAGGGCTGCAACGGGGCCACGAAGAGCAGCGGGGGGGCCACGAAGGGCTGCAACGGGTCCACGAAGGGCAGCGAGGAGGCCACGAAGGGCTGCAACGGGGCCACGAAGGGCAGCGAGATCCCGATTCCTAAATGTGAGGGAATCCCAAGCGTGAGCGCGACTCCTGGGTGCCTGAGTGTCGGGAGCGCGGCGCTTGAGTACATTGCGGGAAAATCCAACGCAGGGGCGCTATTCTCGAGTAGATTGCAAGCAAGTCTCCAGCAAGAGCGCGACTCCAGAGCGCCGAGAGAGCGATTCCTGCATACATTGCGCGGAAGTCTCGGGCGGGAGTGGGGGTCCTGGCTAAATTGGTCTCAGGCGGGAGCCGTTGTTGTTGTAACCTGGGGCCCACAACGCAGTTTAAGGAGGAAGACTTTCCCTGATTTGAAAAAAAAACGAAGTGCGAGCGCCGGGAGGGACACTTCAATTGAAGAACTCCGCCGACCCTGTCGGCGTGTGGGCTGTTCGTCGTGGTTGTTGCTTCCCTCGCTGCTCCCGCCCCAGTGCTGTTCGCCATGGTTGTTGTCCCCCTCGCTGCCCCTCCCCGTTGTCGTCGCCGTCGCCTTACGGCCGTCGCCGTCTCCGACCTCAAACCGTCGCCGTCTCCCACCTCAAGTTGAGCAACGTCGTAATTGAGCCGATTGGAAGCCCCTTCCCTTTGATCCCTTCCCCGACGGGGGGCGGATCCCGGGGGGGTGGGGGGGTGGGTGGAGAGGGGGGGTGAAGGGTGAGGGGGGGGGGGTCCCGGGTCCGAATGCCATCTTCCTGGGGTGTCCCGGGACCAACGCAAGCCTCCAGACGAGCCAGGAGTGGCTCAAGA